GTAAAGCGGTCTGTGGCCTCCGCAGAGCGACGACTCGGACGTGTGGGACGACACGGCCCTCATCAAGGCGTACGACAAGGCGGTGGCCTCCTTCAAGGTAAGGGGGGCGGCCCGGGCGCAGCTAGAGCCTGGGCTGAGGCGGCCGGATTGCCTTTTATTGTCTTCCTCCTTTCCTTTCCCGCAGAACGCTTTAAAGAATGGAGAGTGTTCAGAGCCTTCGGACAAACAGGAGCAGCGCCTGGGGATGAAGAGAAAAAACAATAAAAAGAACAGAAATAGAAAGAAGAGCAACACAGTGCCTTTGAAACAGGTCACCTCGCCTGTAAATGCTAGTGGTGCTTGCGTGTTGTACTTCTCTGTGGTGCTAAAGAGTAGCTTTTTCATCACCTCGAGAATAACGTTCTGGGGTGGGGGAGTAATAGCGTTATAAACCTTATTTATGGATTACATTGAGCAATTTCACTAAATACAAAGGAAGAACTTCCTGGGTGGGAGTCATCTTTCTCATGGTTGGGACAAAAAGTATTTTAGAAAAAAGCATCTTTCTGCATCTTTCTCTCTGATCCCTGGTGTAGGTGTTTACTTGCCGCTCTTGCTTCTGTTGCAGTGGAAAGTTGGTGACAGCTGTAATGCTGTTTGGTCTGAGGATGGTAATGTGTACCTAGCAACTATTGCCTCTATCAATCAGAAGAAAGGCACATGTGTTGTTACTTACACGGGATATGGAAATCAGGAGGAGCAGAACCTGTCGGATCTACTTCCTCCAGCCAGCGACGAAACAGTAAGTGGGATGGGGAATTCGGGGCGGGTGAGGGACACTTTTTCATTCTTCTGAAAAGGAAAGAGAAAGCGGGAGAATCAGCTTTTTCCAGTATTTCTGGTACCACTGCGGCGTTCAGAGTGAGAATCGATACCCGATTCCATTGTGAACGGACACAAGCTGATGGAGGGAATTAAAGCATCCCCTTCTTGAACTCAGCGTGGAAGAAAGGGAGGGCACAACAAGAAATTCATGAGTGAAAGACAACATAGCTAAAATGGTAAGCAGATAAGATTATGGGGTTATAAAATCTTTCCTGAGTAGGACTGGGAGGGCCAGAGAGAGGGAAAGATGTGGATGGGGCTTTCCAAGCTTTTTCACACCAAAATTGCTTGCTGTAAACTCCTGTTTAGTGCATCTCATAAAAATGTCTTGGTCTTCTAGAATGAAAATGAGACTCCGTATTCAACAGATGAAAGTGAAAAATCTTCCCAGTCACCTCAAAACAAAAACAACTGCACAAAAGCAAGATTCTCCCCTCAAAACCTACGTTTTCCCGCACCACCAGCAGCCCCAGGCCTGGGAAGGGTGAGTTCAGCCTTATCTGAAATAACTCATATACCTCTGTTAAGCCTGGTGTCTGAATTCTGAGACAGTAGGATGATATTTATTATTGTCTAGAAACCAAATAACAGCATTTTGAGAATAGATATACAGATAAGCATGTTAGAACCTGTTGATACGTCATTTTATAATAATCTGGCCACAGTGTAGCTCTTTTGCAGTGCTGCTGTCTAGTGAGGAAAGCCTTCTCCCTAGCTAACACTTGCTTTGCAATTGCCGTGTAACTTAAAAGAGGGATGTTGTTCCCTAGACTGTGATAGTGCTGTTAATGATAGCACTGTTCACGTTTTAAGATTGCACTTCTTCTAGCCAATTGATACGTTTCAGTACACAGGACATTGAAGGCAGCAAAAGCAATGTCCAGATGTCAGAAGCTCTCAGCTGTAGCATCTCTGCTGAATTATGAGGGCTGGGGTATTGATATATTCTTCAGTTCTCCTGTTGTTGTAGGAGTCTAAATAATAGTGCAGTTGAATGCAGCATTATGTTTTCTAAATATTACTGTTTGTGCACGATTTCTTTATAAGGTTTCCTTTTTATCTTTTTTCATTCATATCAATAGATTTGTATCTAAGTTCATTTTAAAGACATTCACAAGCATAATGGAATTTAGTTAGCATATGCCCCCCGCCACACAGGAGCAGAGAAATTATCTGTTTGCCTGTGGGCAATATTAGATATGTTTCTTCATGTGAGAGTGCAGCCACTGACTTCTATTTAGAAAAAACTTTTTAAAATGCTTGTATTAACTAGAACCCTGTTTCAGCACTGTTTATCTCAGTGGCACGTGTAATGTAGGTTTTACTTTTCCAGTCATGGAATGATCCACAGAAATAGCTACTGTGTGTTGTTATTGCAGTTTCATTAAATTGCTGGGATGTGTTGTCTTTAGTTTAACGTTTGTGAGTAGCTTCAAATAATTCTTTAAAATAAAATCCTAATGCCTGAAATTTCTTTAATTTTCACTATCCAATTTTTTTTTTCAATGTAGCCTGGATCAAAATTCAGGGCACCTCCATCGTTTTTATCTTGCTGGCCTCCACCCTTCCTAGCCGGACCACCGGTAAGTGATAGGAGAATGAGGAAGAAAGTGTCAGAGATGAGTACTGGTGATCTCAAGTTTTCTAACGGAATATGCTCACTGCCTGTGTTTTTAGAACACATTTCTGCGTTAGAGTTTGTATTTTCCAGGTATTTGATAACGCATTCAGTTACAAATATTACAGGAATCTAATGCACAAGGTCTGGTCTGCACTCATTTTGGTGATAGTGAAGCTGTTGGTAAGAATGTCAAGAGAAAAATTATTTGAAGAAACTACACCTTACGTTTGATTAACAGCATTTCACTGATGCAGATAAATATTTTCCCCTAATAAAACTTTTGTTTGTACGTTCAAGCTACAGGAATCCTATTTCTCCCAGGCTTTGGAAATTACATGTTTTCAGAAAATACTGTCTCATTTGACTCCTTTTCAGAGAATGCATTGAGGATATGTTCCTATTTTTCAGTTTTATATTTTGATCATTTAGAATTGGTTACTAGCTAACCTGGGATATACCCTACTGAAACACAGACGTTTCCTTTGTGTTTTCTTAGTTGATTCCTCCTCCACCACCTATGAGGCCAGACTCTCCTGAGGATGATGAAGCATTGGGGAGCATGTTGATAGCCTGGTACATGAGTGGTTATCACACTGGGTATTACCTGGTACGTGCTACTTTTGTCTTGAAATGTCTTTGTAATTTTGCTTTTGCGTTGCTGCTGCTGTTTTCAGCAAGAAGTTAGAGAGGGAGGGCTGCTTTTTAGATCTCTTACTCTAATTCATGATAGCTAAATTTAAGGGTATTTTGTATTGTGTAAGTGTTCTTGTCCTTGAGTAGGAGTCACGTGAGCCAGCATATATGTGTAGTCAATGTTGGTTTAGTCCTTTGTTCCACTGGAGGGGTCCCATTAGGTACTTTCATAGCCAGTGTTTTATAGCCATTCTGAAACAACCAGTTCTGTCTTTGTGGGCAGGTGGAGTAAATCTGAGTATGTTTATTATTCAGTAGTTTTCTACGTGTTTTCTTTGAGTATGAGTGGTGGTATCACATTTAGGATCAGATTTGGCATTTTTGCAGAGACTATTCACCAGTAATTGTTTCAGGTGATTGTGAAGGTCCAGCAGGAGCTGTCAGCATAGTTGTGAAAAATCTGTGACATGGAGTATTGATTTCTATTTTCCTTTGTACACTTACGAAGCAAGAAGATTACAGGAGGAATTAAAAACTCTTTGCATTGGGGAAGTTGGAAGCGGGGGATTGGTGCCATAGGGTATCTTCAAAAGACTAGTTTTGGAATTTCTTGCTTCAGATTATATATAATTGTGGATTGCTTTAAATTACTTCTAATTGAACAAGAAATACAGATTTGAAATTATTCTGTAGAGCCGGTGATTATAAAGAAGACATGTAGTTTGGCTTTTGTCCTCTTTAAACTGCCCATTCTGATTTCCCCAAAGAGTTAAAAGCTGTTCTTGATTTGTAAAGGGCTAACAAAAATTGTTCAAAAATGTTTTTGTTCTGCAACTAAAGCTTTTATTTCCATGTTAGTAAAAACAAGATTGTACTAAATTGTATCCTGTAGGGTTTAAAACAAAGTCGAATGGAAGCAGCACTGGAGAGAGAAACACATGCAAAATAACTGAATATCCATCACTGTTTTGAAGGATTGTAAGTATTGTAATTTTGTGCTAAATGAAGTTACAGTGTTGCTTGACAAATTTGTTTGAAACTACAGTTCATTTTACAAGCTCTCAACAAGTTTTGAATTCTGTGCAAAAACTGCAAGCTTCGGGACTTCCATCCGCTCTTACGGGTCTCTACAAAGACCGCTTCTGCCAGTAGTGATCCCTCCTTTGCTTAGCAGCTGTGGAATGTTATTTTCTTGGCTAGAATGAAGGAAAGTATTTCATTGCTCTGAGAGGTTTAACTACAGCATCTCTCTACATCAGGATTAACAACACAGCTTACTTGAATTATTGAGTTACCTTCTTTGTTTATGGGCTGTTTTGAAAATAAAAGGTTGTTAAGTGAAATGCTTTTTGCATCTATGTACACATCTTCAGAAGCAACTGCTTCATTATACAGATGGGATAGCAGCATGTGCAGCTAAACTTTGTTTTCAGGACAAGATCAACATTTCAGTTTGATGTCATTGAGCAATTCTGTTCTCATTGCTTCAGTGCCTGTGCTTTTATTTGAAATCCTTTGTTTAGAATTCTCCAGTATATTGTTCAGTTCCTTATAGAACAAAACTATATTCTCCTGGGGATTTGTTTTTCTGATTTTCTGTGACAACATAATTTCTGTGCATTTGAGTAATTCTTGTTTGTTTGTTTAAAAACAAAAAGCTCTTGTATACTAATTTTTGCTTCTTTTTTAAAGCCAGGTACAAATCTTTCCCACTGAGAGGTGTATATCACTTATGCACTGATGGTTGATGGTGAAGATGAGAATTTTATCAAGACAGTTAATATTAACATTTTCTTAACATTGAGCTGTCCCTGATAACAAGTAAAGAAATAACTTAAGACTAGTAATTATATGTGCATTGAAATGAGCTATTTCTTAAAGACCTCTAGTCAAATGTATTTAGAAAGCACTGTGGCAATAAAATATTTTTTACTTCCCTGAAACAACTTTAAGTCTTTTTAGCACATGATAGATTTAAGTCTTTTAACCCCACATGATAGATTTAATCTCTCATTTTAACACCTCTTGTATTCCTCAGACTTTTTATCTGAATGACAACACCAGAACTAGCGATTACAGTAATTCTTTTAGGAGACAGCTATGGCAGCAATGTATGTTACAGTGGCCACTGGTGGCAATGGCCTGGAAAACGGTATACTATCATTTTAAAAGAGGTATTATCTTATGGGTCTGATTAGAATCCTGAATACCACAGCTGGATTCGGAAAGGCTCGGGTTTTGTTTCAAATGCTTGTTAATAAAGTTCTACTTTTCAAACTTTGAATTTAGGGGTGTGGTTTGTTTTGGGGTGGTTTTTATTTTTAGCTTCTGTAGACATCTGTCAGTTGGATGAATGGCTGAAATACACCAGAAAGTTTTGCTGTGTGGCCTTTTTCTGAGTACCGTTACTGAAAGCAAATTAGAAAAAGCAGACTGTGGAAAGGTAACGGTAAGTATGGACTTAGATTTCAGCCTTTACAGTCTTAACTCTTGTAGAGTAGAGGCTGCAGCCACAAAACTAGACAGTAATGTAGTTAATGCCACTGGTTTGCTTTTCAGGGAAACTAGCCAAATACAGGTCTGAACTTTGCTGCATTCAGTTCCTTTTCCTACTGTGGCCGAGTGTCAGAAAATGAGTTTTCCCACAAATAATTGAGCAAAAAGAGACAGACATAATTTTAAATTCCCTAAGCCACTTTGAAGGCTTTTTCTTAATCATCTAGCTGAAGTAAATTAAGATTGCTTGCAGTGATGCAAAGCTTCTAAATCAGTTGTTCAGCAGCTGTTCATTGCTGAAGATGCACAACTGCCATCTGCCTTAATCAGCTAGTCCTGTGTTAGTAACTGGCATTACGTTACAAAAAGTGGCCTTTATCAGTTTTTAACACTGGTAAAATCTAGCATCCAATACTATTTTTAGTGCAGTACTTACCATAAAGGGTTTTATGATTTTTATTTCATAAGTGATTCATGTAATTGATTTCATTGCAAGCAAAACAACTGACTAGAAATAATTTATTTTAAATAGGCTTTAAGCAAAATTTTACATTTTTCTTTGGAAGGTAGCACTTGGGTACAATCTATAACCACATTTGCAAAGCAAGTCAGGTTTTCAGAGTTACGTTAATCCTGTCTCCTATTCCTTCATCCTTTTACGTTAACCTAACCCTGCTGTAGAATAGACTGGCATGTCTCATCCTGGTAAAAATTTTACAATATATGTTTATTTGCAGTGCAGGTGTATAATTCATAATACAAGAAGGAAGAGAAAAAAACCCAAACCCTAATGCTTTCAAACTGTTCTAGTCTTGAAAAATTGGTGGAAGTGGCAAGACCCATTGCCAAGATAATTTTAAACTCCTAGACTAGGGGTGCTGCTCCTTCATGATATCAAACATTTTAAGGTCCTCTGCGTCAAGGAGCCAACCCATCATTACTATTGTCACAAGACCAGGCAATCAAGAAACGCACTGGACAAAAGCCATCACTGTTGATGCACTGGCTTTGATCTGATGTGTGAACATACATCTAATGTCCGGCTCTTCTAAAGCAGGCGTGTTATTAAGTGTTCTACAGAAGTTTCTCCAACCAGTTTCTGTAACATCGTGATTTGTTAACAGAGCTTTTCAAGCTTCTGGAAACCTCCATGGTTTGCAACCTTTGCTGCAAAAATAAACAAGACATCAGTAAGGATTTAAAGATGCTCCAAACCCATATGAAATGAACAAAAATACAGCAAAGCTGAGGTTTTGCACATTAAAAATAAAACAAAGTTGTTGCTATTAGCTTGAAAAAAGTAGAACTTTAACTCAACTCATTTAAGCATTTTAATACCTCAGGCTGAGGAGACTGATACGATAGAGGGTACTCTACTCAGCATTAATGTGCCTGCTAAAGTAAGATACCGATGTGTTTTACCAGTGCTCGAATACCACTCTTACAGAGCAAGGCAAATACAACGCCAGCTTAGGCAACCACTTGAGGTCAGACGCCAGATCAGCTTTGCACAGATGTAAGATACTGAGTTTAACCGTCTCTTTCCTGCCTGTGTACCATCACATATGCTCTTCCGTCTTGCCTTATGGTCAGCCTATTTACAAGATGGGACTCTTGTCATCAAGTCACTATTTATACTAAAATGTATGTCAAAAAAAAAGAAAGATGGTATGACAGACTTAGCATTTGCTTACAAAGAAATTTCCCTCAGCCTATGTATGAGATGGTAGTTTTAAGACTATACTAAAGTAAAGTATTAAATTCAAGAAATATTTTGGTAATACACAGTTTTAACAGCTAGGGCATACAAGCTAATATAACTAGCAACAAAGTTATGAAGCTCTATTTTAAGTCAGTTTTTTTTCATTGATTATTTTTCTTGTAATTTACATTACTTTGTAGAAGACAAGGGGAAGTAAGGAGGCATTTCAAAAGAGGTTTCAGCAAAGTTTAGTGTATAAGCAGTCTGAATACACTTTGATGAGCAACAAATATTTTGGGCTGAGTATAGAACAAACAGGAATAAATGATACCCATTAAAAATGACAAGTAATTTGCAATTGTTGTGATGTATACAAACAGAAGCAGTATCTTCTCTACCCAGAAATGTTACTTCATGTTTGAAGTTCTCTCCTTCAAACTCACCTATTTCTAACAGGCTGTCATCATCCAGACATAGGATAAATGAGAAGCATCTGAGGTGCAGCAGGTGTAGACACTGCTGAACAATCAGTTTGGCTGCAGACTTTATTCCCTTCCCTGCAGGAAGGATGAGCTCCTCCAGGTTAAGACCACCACCTAAGTTGTATGCTTCAGAGAGAAGATAACCTTTCCTGTTAAGATTAAACAAGTATATGTTTCCTAAATCTTGTAACGCCAATGAGTGACAGCAGCAGAGCCAAGTAAAAAAAACATTTAGATTCTAGGCAATAGGTTACTATCAGCTTGCTTTCCTCAGGTTCGCCCCTGCCATTGTTGCGAAGGTCGCTTCCCTCTGTAACTTAATAGCTTGAAAAGGTCGTCAACAGAAAAGGCAGAACTACTTCTCCAGAAAGGGTCTAAGAGGTCTCATGAGTCCTCTAGAGATAAAAGGAATATAAATAATAAAAAAAAAATAAAAGGAATCTTCCATGTTGCCAAACTCAAGGGACACACAGGAAAGAAAAAGAAATTAGGGTAATCCTCCCCTCCCAAAATGCAAGCCTTTTCAACCTTTCCTTGTTCCCTATAGGTATGGCTTTTGCAGGAGGACAATCTTGGCTTTCAGAGGTGCTGAACACCTCTGATTCCATAGTTTATAACGGCCATCCATCTCCCTCGGCTCATCCATCTCAGAAGGACATGAACACATGCCCTTCATCACAAACTGCTTTGTGAGACCTGGTTTAACATTCTAGTTCTAGACATGCTCCAGTATCTCAAATGGCATTTAAGCTGTTCAAGTTATTTCTTAAGATCTCCAAAAGAACCTGAAACAATAGTTCTGTCAAATGCAACAAATCACATCAGCCGAAAGGAAAGATATGTACAAACCAAAGATTTCACAAGCTTCCTTGTCATCAAAATATTGGCTTGTAAGATCCAACACTTTGAGAGAGACAAAATTGGGCAGAGCAGCAGCTAGGAGGAAAGAAAAAAAAGTATGCATTTTCATTCTTGGAACATAAAATTAGCAGTTTCTCTCAACTATTAAGTTTTAAAAGGTGAATTTTCTGTATTAAAAAAATTCCTACCTAAAGAAAGCAAATCTCGATCTGTCAAAAATGACCTGGTTAACTTGATTTCTTTTAATTTCTTGCGTGAAGAAATTGCTGCCAGAAGGGATTCAGCATTGAAGTAGCTGGAGCAGTCCAGGTGAAAAACAGAGAGGTCTTGGAAGCTCTTAATAAATTCAACTACAAAACAAAGTGTTGCAACACTGGAGATTCACTGTATAGTGAACAAAGGTCAAAAATCAAGAAGGTTTTGCTAGCTCCACCTGTGAACTTTACTGTGGAAGGAAGCATATTCTATCACAACAAAAGCAAATGAGAGAGAGAAAAAGATGAACGGGAGCAGCAGCTTGATTCCTCTGTTTACATGTTAAATCAGATGGCCTGTGTTTTACTTTAGAACTAGAATCATGATGGATCATTCTGGCCTTAAAATGCAAACAAGTTGTGCTATAGATTCATTTCTGGTTTCTTTCACACGTGAAAAATATTCTAGTTTTTCAACATTTAGTGGGACTGAAACTCTTTAAACACCTTCCCCCTAAAGTTATTAGTTTTAGGTACATTGTAAAACCCTATCCAATGGCCAGATATTGAGGGCACAGTTCACTGAATGTTGTTGATTTGTACTGTATGTTTATATTGAAGTAAAGGTAGGTAATTGTTATAGCATACAAAAAATGGGTTATCTAGGGGCCCTGAACTGAAGACTAAGCTTCTTCCTGGAATAAGGCAGCTAAAACAGAAGTCACGACCCGTTCATTGACATGTCAGAGCAGCTATGCACATCATCTGGACTCAGTTGCCAGTTGTGCTCCCTCTCTTCTTCCTCCCGGTGGACTGTGAGTGGTGAGAAGGGAAAATACTCACTCTAGGAAAACAAAGAGCACAGTCCTGCTCATTCCTCCATACTAACTTATTATGGAGGTCAACAAAGTTACAGCACTGAAAGGTTCAGTGCCTCTTTTGTTGCCCAAGGTAGAAGCTGTAGGGCAGAACCAACGGGAAGACAACTTGGAGATGCTACATGCCTATGAAAACAAGAAATTAAAACTGCTCCTCAGTATCAGCAAGTGCTAGTGGAATACGGTACCTAAAGTTTTAAAGTGCACCTTACCCAGCCTAGAGCTGTTTTCAAGCTTCATTTTGCTCATCAACAATTTCTTCATGTTACAGAGATTTTTGAAGCCATCTGCTATTGTATCAAATACATTGCAGTTCTCACATTGACTCACTCACAGTTCCTCCAGGCAGAGGAATTTGTCCAAATTTGAAAGAAGTAGTTCTATGACAAAGCCAGCCAAACATACAATGAAACTGGGTTGATCTGCTTAATCCCTCTGTTCTTCTGACAATTTGCCAAGGTTTTTGTAGCTGAACTTCACTATCTCACATCCTAACGTCTTTGGCTTCCCTTCTCTTGACTGCTGCTTCCTATCCTCCTTGTACCACTGCCCTTCCCTGCCAACCCATCCTTCACTGAGGCTTCTGCTGCTTACAGCCTGAGCATATGCCTGGCAGGATCCCATAAATGCAGCTGTACTGCCCAATATTCTTCTATTTTGAAAGCCCAGTGCAGACCCACTCAGATTGCCCCAAGCAGAAAATGCATGTCTGCCAGTGCCTGCTAGCTTGTCCTCCATACTTGCGGTGGTGTGCTCCCCCCTGCCCCGCCTAAGCAACAACCACCAGTGGGGGTGGCGATGGCTGCATCCAGCTTATGCTGGGCTTCAGGGACGGATGGCCACACAGTAGCCAAGGGCTCTCTGGAGCAGAGAGCCGTAGATGTTGCTGGTATGCAAATATGACTATGGGTCAATCCTCTTACTCTATAAATAGCGGACAGCCCAAGAGCCCTTTGAGCTCCTCTGCACGGCAGTGGGCTGCACAGCGGGATCTCCCCTGGAGTAGGGACGCCTCTCACAGTTACTCCTCGAGGTTGAGAGATTCCTTGCCACAACAGATCCTCGGTAAGTGACTAATAGCATGCTAAACTTTGAAATCTTAGCTGAGTGATATAAGGGATTGGTTGTGCTTATATAATCCTTTAGACATAAACTGTTGACCAAGTCTGGGACTAGGACTGGATCCAGCCGCACCCAGACTCCTCTCTGAGAAGGAGTCTAGAAAGCAAGGGGGTCCTTTCTGAACCTCACGGCTCAACGGGAGGGTATTCCTGACAGTTTTGTCTGAGCCTGTCCTCTATGCAGTAAATAATCAAGTGTACCTTGCCATTGAATCTTGTTAAACCAGTGTCGCATTTACCACTGAACTTTGTTAACTCACTGTTTTCTATCAATAAAGTGTATTGTTGCTTCTCTCTTATGACTGAAGTGCAGTCTCACTCCACCTGCGACAAGACTGCACTATCCTCTGCTGAAGTGCAGTTCTGCCTCTGTAGTGACATACACCTCTTAGATCAAAAACCGGTATCAAGGTCATAAGCTGAAATTAGGGACCAGGATGGAAATCTGTTAATGCAGAATGGCTGCCTATCCCCTGAAACGCATACGGTAGAAGACAACTTTACTATTCATGGATATGGAGCTGTTCACTTGTCAGGCACCAAGGGGAGAGGAAAAAAAAGGGAACTAGAGAGAAAAATTACATTCTGCCAAAATTCAGTGTGCTGTACCTGGCATTTCTTTTTCGTCTATCTCAAGACATTCCACAAAAGACATCGAGAGAAGTAATTCTTGCTCTGTTATGCTCAAGTTAAGATGATGTAAGCTACATTTTTTAAAATGTTCCTCGTACTGTTCAATAGCAGGTCAGATAACTTCTATGAATCCAGGACTATTTTTCAGCTGAAGTTCAGTATAATCTGAAACGGAAAAGAGTGTCATCAAATTTCTGAGGTCAGCTTCCTGAAAGGAACTGATGTTGCTGAATGTACATTTTAAAAGTGGCATCTTCCCTGTTGTAAGTAGGAAAGGACACACGATGGAGTCTGGTAGATGTCTTTATATCAGTGAAAGAAAGCTATTAATGTTTTTTTCTTCTTCTTTCATTTTTTGTGCCATGTCATTAAAAAGTGTAAACACAGGAGCGTAATCCCGATCAATTGTTGACATCTCCAGTGAAGAATAGCAAGCACCTATTTCAGATACATTAAATTCTTATTTGTGTTCACTTCCTTGTACTGCAACCTGAAAACTACTGGGTAGAGACAGCGATTCTGGGTAATCCTGAAAAAACGCAACTTAGATTTTTGTGATTATAAAAATGAACTTAACAAAATATCATTGCCTCTTAGGAACTGAGAAATGATTGGGGCACACACAGAGACAGTATTGCTCTCATAAACTACAGAAATAGCAAAGTCCAGTAAATACTGAATGAAAACTGGAAGAAGCAGTTTTGGATCAATAAAACTTAACTGGTCAATGAAGAACATTCTTACTGGAAGATCTGAATGGTGCTGCAGATGTTCATCATTTTCTGACTGGCTTTCCAATGACTCCTTGTAGTCAATCAATTTAAATAAATAGGATATAATTTGGGGGACTGCTTTGGAAGAAAAGCTGCAAGTGTAAACCAATAAAAAATTATAGCACCCAGCAACTTCTCTAAATGTGTTGATTTGCTGCAAATACTGCAGCCCTCGCTCAAGTTTTTCTTTTTCATCAGAAACCAGGAGCTCACTCAGTCTTCTCCCTGCAAGAAACTCCTGGAACAAGGGGTGAAAGAATTTATAAACTGGATGAAGCCTTTGGGCAGTAAATTTGCTGAGTAAACCCAGCCTAACAGCTTCGTCTCCATCAACTCCTGCTTCAGATAGATCATACTCAGTGAAATCAAAGGATGGCTTGAAAAGACTGGTTAAGGCAAGTTCACTACGTGAGGAAAACATAGCCAGTACATGTTCTCTTTCTTCACCGTATTTTAGTAAGTGGTAGAACAGGTTGGCTTCAAAAATAGCCTTATCACTGATTATGTTACCCTTCGGATTCTGTATCCAATACACAGCCAGAGACACCATAAAAAGTGGTGTCTTTAGAATGGTCTGCATAGACTTTTCAAACTCCAGCTGAACGAGAAGCTGCTCCACAAGGTCAATATTGTAGGAGAACAATTTCTTTAGTACATACAGAGTGCTGGACAGAGGGAACTCTGCAATGCTTAGAGTGGTGGTTGCATACTTGCGAATTTCTCTCATCCTGTTAGTACAGACAGCAACAACCAAACAATGCCGGTAGAGGTGGTTCCTTTGTATAAGTTCTACAGTTTGGGGCACTGAATTCATCTCACTATAGTCATCCAAAAGAAATAAGACCTGGTTTTTCAGCGGCTGAATTACATCTCTTAGAGTTGTTTCTGTTAATGGTCCCACAAATCCTACTGGTTGATTGCATATAGTATCAGTCATGCTCTGACCTGATCTTGCATAAGTCAGGGAGAGATAAAATACAAACTTAAACCTGCTCAGAATGAGGCAGCAGCCTGAGGCCCAGAGAAGAGCTATTTTCCTGAGCAATGCTGGTTTTCCATTTCCTGCTTCACCTTCCAGCACAATGGTGGAGTTAAGGTTCTCAATGATTTAATGAAGAAAGAGCTGCTGTATTGGTTGATCATTAATATCCTTTAAGACAACTGATAGGTCCCCATAGAGTAATTTAAAGTCAATAGCCAAATGGTTTGAGTTCCCAAAGGAAAACAATTTGCTGAAGCTCTTACTGTTGTAAGCCTTTGTAAGTTTTTCGGTCAAGTTCTTTGCTTCTTGAAGACACTGACTTTCAACAAGTGTCATGTCTGCAAAAAGGATGACATTAAATAATAAAACCTAGTTGATTCTGTACACAAAAGTCAAATACAGTCAGCTGTCCATTAAATTGGAGTAATAAGAACCTGAGAATTTCTAGATAATGGAAAAAATTGGTATCACTTCTAGGTAATCCCAGTTCCCACGGTTTCTCTTTATCCTACTCAGTTGGCTTTGCACCCATCTAATTTAATGTGGTCTTAGTTAGTGTGTAGCAAGTAATCAAGTGATAAACTTGAGCTAAAAAGCTTTGCTGGACTGACCTAGCTCTGTGCAGAGACATGCTTGTATCTCAGTGCAATGATCCCTAGCCCTCCATGGACTGGAAAGAATAACTGGCTTAGATGCAGCACTGTGTCAATAAACGACTGAATTGCCAGGCTTGCAAGCAGGCTCAGAGAGTGGTGAAGACACATTCAGTTGGCACCATGCAGGCAAAATAGTGTTAAACTTGACCTAAACATCCTTTCTAGACCCACATTAGCTTCCTACAGAGCCACTGAGTCTCTGCACCATGCTCTCTAAAGCTGTTGCTCTGGCAGGGTTTCTAAGTTCTGGTACAGAGCATTGATTCTGGATAGAGCCAGCTATGTTGTCTGTGCCCATAGTACAGTTTATCCACAAAATAGATAATCTGCCCCAAAATAAATGTGTGGGGGCTGTACTTTGGTATTTCTGAATAGCTGAAATAAAGTAAATGTACTTCTACATCAAGGTAATTATACAGATATGCAGTATATGTATTGCCAAAAAACCCCACAGTAATCTGTTATATCAAATGAAGCAGTACCATTTTATTCTTTGCATATTCCACAAAAGTACAATGAACCCCAGAAATGTTCACTGGCTCTTCCTGCACTTCGCTAAGAGATGACACCAGAGAGCTCCTTTTCTGAAGACTTTGAGACAAGATAGAGTGTATTTATGACATAGCCTGGGGAACTAGGACTTCCTACCAGAAACAGCCCCAGTCACTTTCAGTAAAATGGAGATGTACATGTTGGTGAATACAAAGAATGAACAAACATCTTCATTAATAAACTGGCAACTATGACTCTTATTGTTCCCTCCACCATTTCAGTACTATGAGGTTTAAAACTATTATTATGCTTTCAGAGCTCTAAAATGTGCTTTTAGTGCCTTCAAAAATTACAAAACTGCTCTATCTGATACGTATATCCCAAATAATTTTGGCATTTCTGGGAGGCAGTAATAGCCATTTTCGGATTAACAGGAGGCTGCTAAAGAAAGCATCTGGACAGTACCACTATAGCAAATTTACTTTCGAGTTATCAACTCTGTGCTTGCACATCAGTACTGTTCTGCAGCAAATCAGTGCAAACTCATTGTGTGTGAACTCTTCCCTCAGAAATCCAAACACATGTATCAACAAAACCACTCCCTTGAAATGGCCATAGTATTTGGAAAAAGGAGGCATCAGAAGCAAAAGGTAGTGGAAGGTTATCACAACTTGGTTTCTTTTGTATCTAAAAGCATATACATATAATATGTAGTACGTGGCTGATACACATTTGCAATTTTCCAAAACATGAATGAAAAAAAATCATACCATATTGTCACAAAATAATTTAGTTTGCTTATATGCCTCATCTGCACAGAAGTGACTTTCGCCTGCTAAGGGATTGGTTTATATTCATAATTACAAAAGCAAACAGTAGCTGCCAGATTCTCTATTATTTGTTGTCCCTATATATGGACAACCCATAAATCCTAACTCAGTCCTTACTTCAATGAAAATTTTGTCTGACTAAGTAAGGTCAAATCCAGAAAACCATTAACAATCCTCTCAAACTAAAATGTAAATTCAAGTGAGGCTGCACAGTACTTACCAGCTCCTACAGAATGTAGGGTTGCTTTCTCTTCAAGATTTGCTTTACAGGGAGTTTGCTAGAACAAAAATAAATCCAGTTATACCCCCGTAAATATTTATTATTTAGTTCAAACTGGGTTGCTTAGGTACCAGCAAGCACCAGCTGCTACAAGGGCAATTTACAACAGATGCAGTACTAGCTCTGTATTTTTCAACACTAGCAAAATTCTTTTACTCCTCCCAGAAGCAGGACCTCAGCCATAATGCCCCTCTATCTTTATGTCTCTGTCTCTCTCTCCCCGGTAAGCTTCTTCCATCCCAGGGTTTTGCTGCCTGCCTACCAAGGATACGAGGCCCAGCTCTGATATGACACAGATGCATAACCTTGACGCAGACTGCGGAGAGAAAGCCATGAGACAGTCTGCAGAGATGCAAGGAAGATACCGCTACAGGCAGAGGGAGCAGGGTGAGACAGGGCGGCTGATGGCTGGAGGACTCTGCCATGTGCCTGCCCAGCAGAGACCCTTCGTTTGCCTGAGCGGGGTGGTGAGCATGCTAATGCTCAGCCTCAGAGCTCATAACATCCCAGCTATCTTTAGCATGAGTTAGCGAATGAATAATCGCTTTGTACTTCTCAGTTGTGTGTATCTTCAAGGTGCCTGAACAAACCAACCCAAGAGAGGAGCTGTGAGATCTCCCACAATAACGTCCTGCACAAAACCTCTCCATTAGCTTGCTGCAGTCCCACAAATTGGGACTTGGCTTTCCCCCTCCCACGAGCCTCTCTGCAGTGGTTCCTTGGCAGCCCTGTGGTTCCCCTGTCTGTGCCCGGCACCCCGGGCTGGGGTACTTTGCTATCGACGGAGCAGCCCAGGAGCACAGGCACTGTTGCACACATTACAATTTGCCAGCAAAGGATGATTGCTGTTAATTACTGAAAAGCTGATTGCCAGTAGCTGCCCTGCAGAGACACTTTCTCCACAACTTGGGTCAATGCCTGCAGGCAGGCAGCCGCTGTTTGGGGGTACGTGTTTGAACGCTGCAGGTACCTGAGCCACGGGGCTCAGAAACACCTTTCCAGAGGCAGAGCGGAGCTGCCGCTGCCTGCACCACGCCGACGCAGGTCACATACCCCCCCAGCTGTTCAGCAACCTCTGAAATGCAGTGCATTCAAAAGGTTGTCCGGCAGGAAGAACTGCAATAAGCTGCCTTTGCTGCTCGTTCTGCGCACACACGTGCAGAGGCTCCCTGTGGCTGGAACTATCATTTAAAATTGCAAAGCACAAAAACTGCTTCACTAACAGCAAATACTGCAGACAAGCGCAAACCTGTGCAGACTGTAATGTTGATGAGATCTCTGGTTGCTCTTTCAGTGACTTTCCAAGTACTTCCAAGCAGTTGGAACTAGAATGGTGTTTTCAAAAGACACAGCAGTTAGTGCAATGCATTGCTTCAGTTGCTTACATTCGGCAGAAGGATGGAACTATTTCACAAACATTCCTTTTGTTTGGAAACTTCTACTGTATTTCTACATTTAAACATTAATTTAAAAAAGGTACAACATCCTATACACTCAAGAAACATATAGTTATTTATATACATTTAAAGTAGTATTAAAAAAACAACTGCAAAAGTATATGGCAACTTTCATTGCACGGCAGGAAATTGTCTTAAGATACTCTGTCACTCACTCAGGGAACCATTTTGCATGTTCTTCCATAGGATCTTCACCTTCTTCCCATTCCTGTAAGCAACCTGCACAGCTGAAGCACTGTACCCTATCGCCTTCTCCTGCAAGCAAGAAATTACACACCTCAAAAATGGACATGTACATAATTTTTCTTCCTTACTAACATGCCAGCGGCATAAAAACTGCAACAATGCAGTCATTTCATGAGTTTACTTCAGTGGCCTCTACCTGTTACTGGAATCACATGCTTTTTAAATCATGAATAATAAAAATTACATCAAGGAAAATAAAATGCCGCAGAATTGAGAGATGTGCCATTATTGTCCTTTTAGTAGCACCAGACAAATGAATATACAAGTGCCCAGATAAATGCTTTCTCCTTTCTAAAAACATATCCTCCTTGCAACTCTTTGCTCTGGCTTTCCCCTCAGACAGGGTCATTCTGTTTCGATTCCCTTGCTCCGGCTTTTGCAAAAGCCATTCTGATTTTGCAGCTGCATTACCCTCCTTACCAAAAGCTAAAGCAAGATTTTAATTAGGTACCGGGACTATCTTGAAGCTCTGTCCCACCTGCATTGGTAAGTGGATCTTTTACTTGTCCTGTGTTTATATAGCTAACAAACTTGGTTCAAACCTGTATAGAAAAACCTGGCTTTAGCAAGAGCAGTGGCTTCCATATGGGCTTCTGCTGGCCAAGTTTTAAAAGAGTCCAGTTGAACTCCTTCATCCTCAAAGATGTTCAAGACGAGATCGCCTTTGCAACCAAAGATATTTGATTAGTTAGGAAAGCTTTAGCCTGCTATCCAATTCTCCAAAGCAGGGACAGAACTAGATTGCAAATATCTCAGGCTTACAGCAAAGCAAAAACACTACTACAGAACTGTATCTTTCAGATAACTATAAATGTTTATTCTTGATTTGTAGTACAAATGAAAATCTCTGGTTTTCTTTCAAAGCCTTCAGGTTTCATTTATTTTTCACATCTCTTACACAGGCAAATGCAAGAGAGAGATATCTACTTAAGCAGCACGTTTTATACTTAGCTTCTATAGAGAACAAATTTTTACTTGTGCTAAAAATTTCAGAAATACAGAACCAATAATCTTTCACACATGTAATCTTGCTTAAAAAAAAAAAAGCAACAGTCTGGAGCAGCTTTCATTGTTAATGGTGATGTACAATAAAAATATGAAGGCATTAGTTTCTAATGAAAAGCTAAGTCAGTATATTCTATTTTTTTACCTGTTGCAGTAGGTAAATTCCCCTTGATAAAGGAAGCAGTGAAATGCCCCCTTGAAGTGGACAGGCTGGATCGATGGGCCCAGACCAATTGTATGAGGTTCAACAAGGCCAAGTGCCGGGTCCTGCCGGGTCCTGCACTGGGCCACAACAACCCCATGCAGCGCTACAGGCTTGGGGAAGAGTGGCTGGAAAGCTGCCTGGCGGAAAAGGACCTGGGGGTGTTGGTCGACAGCCGGCTGAACATGAGCCGGCAGTGTGCCCAGGCGGCCAAGAAGGCCAATGGCATCCTGGCCTGTATCAGCAATAGTGTGGCCAGCAGGAGTAGGGAAGTGATCGTGCCCCTGTACTCAGCACTGGTGAGGCCGCACCTCAAATACTGTGTTCAGTTTTGGGCCCCTCACTACAAGAAGGACGTTGAGGTGCTGGAGCGTGTCCAGAGAAGGGCAACGAGGCTGGTGAGGGGTCTGGAGAACAAGTCTTATGAGGAGCGGCTGAGGGAACTGGGGTTGTTTAGCCTGGAGAAAAGGAGGCTGAGGGGAGACCTCATCGCTCTCTACAGCTACCTGAAAGGAGGTTGTAGCGAGGTGGGTGTCGGTCTCTTCTCCCAAGTAACAAGTGATAGGACGAGAGGAAATGGCCTCAAGTTGCGGCAGGGGAGGTTTAGATTGGATGTGAGGAAAAATGTCTTTGCTGAAAGAGTGGTTAAACATTGGAACAGGCTGCCCAGGGAAGTGGTTGAGTCCCCATCCCTGGAAGTATTTAAAAGACGAGTAGATGAGGCACTTAGGGACATGGTTTAGTGGGCATGGTGGTGTTGGGTTGCTGGTTGGACTCGATGATCTTAGAGGTCTTTTCCAACCTCAGTGATTCTATGATTCTATGATTCTATGAAGTGGAAAATTAAAAATTAATATTTATTTCTATTATGCATTCTATTTTCATGTCACTCTTCAGCTAAACGAAAGAAATAACTATAACATATAAACAGGGCTAGTACTAAGTATCAACATTTTAAATGGTTTCAGTTTGAGAGAGAGAATTTTCTGAAACAGAATTGACTAACGACAGGTTACTATTAATGAGAAGAAATGGCTCTCCTCAGACAGTAGTAGCTCTAAAGAAAGAAGGATAGCACTGATGCTCTTAAGATATCTGAGGTGGTGTTTTCCAAGCAATACTTGCAGTCCTCTCATCTTACATCAGCTAGTGGGTTTAGCTTCCAGATTTTTTGAGGTTTTTGAGGCACAGGAGTTTTAATCATGAAAGATCTTACATACGTTATATTTTTTTCTGTTGAAAGTAAGTCCCCCAAGAAAAGATGAAGTCACACAAGAAGAGCTGGCAGGGTAGAGTTCACCTAACCTGACTTCAGCTGTGCAGAAGTGCTTAGTTTAGCATACTCGCCTACGGTCTTCTTAATAATCAATAAATATGTGTAGGTGCCATGAGGAGTTAATTCAACCATCTGCCTTCGAGTAGGATAAATGCCAATTAGAGGTATGTGGCTTTTCATCAATGGACTACCTAGGTACTGCCCAGGCAAGCAGCTTGGATGCACATATCAAGATAAACTTAGATGAAACAAATGCCACCTAGAGTGCATAGTGTTAATTGCATATGCAATTATATACAGCTTTTAGGTTGTTGGGGTTTTTTTACGAGAAAGAGGGTGGAAATCAAGATCAAGGCCTAATTTGCCTATCTTCAATCCCAGATAGCGTCTCCTTGGGGAGTATTCCATGACAAAGGAAGATTGAAATAGATTATAAGCTCCCCACCACTCCAACAAATCCACTGTAGGTTTCAATGTACTTTTTAATTTCCTCACTTGATTTCTTACTTTGAAGGAATTCACACCTATAAAAAAACCCAAAATATTATTCCTAAGCATTAATTCCAACTAAAATTCTGGAAGCAGTGTTTCAGTTATCAAGAGGTGCATACTCAGGATTTTTCACAACAGAAAGACAATGAAACAAAGGCAAACTTTTTGGTGCTGTCAGCATTGTTCATGCAACATAGTGACTATCTGAGAGAATAATCAGCTGGCTTTTGCTCAATGAAAAGCCCATGGGAGATCTCTAGAAAGTATGTAAAACAATATATATAGAATAATTATAAGGTTAGGGGCAACAGACTTATACTGTTCAGTTCTCAGAAATAAAGATCTGCTGAAATCAATTATCTGAATATAACAACCTTGAAGACAAGAATGTGGTTTTTTTTTGTTTGCTTTCCAGCATCATTGCTGAGGAAAAAAAGAGATATCAAAACAAATCAACCTTTTTGTATATATAGAAATATTTCTATGACAGTCAGTCAACTTACTCAGGAAACTATTTAGCATGTTCTCTCCAAGGATCATCACCGTCTTCCCAATTTCCCAGACATCCACCACAAGCAAAACACTGCACTGTATCTTTCTTGCCTGCATGTAGGGAGTTACAGATCTCAGAGATAATCACACATTTGTGTGTTTTACTTCCTCACACTCTAGCCACCTGGTCACGACTATACCAGCCTGTACCATTGGTCCAAAATTTGTAGCTCAGGGAAGCCTTTTTCTTAGATTATAGCAACTGAAACTAAAAAGGTTTACAAAACTGCTTAGATTTCCATTTAATTTCAGTTGGGTCAGTCTGGGTCTAAACTTGGTGCAGATCCAAAAGTCAAAATATAAGGTAGATCTTTCCATCAAGATAAAACTTCAGAAATATCTAAGAAATTGTACAAGCTTGATAGAATAAACATATCTTTTTTTGTTGGCTATTTTTTTGATTTTGCATTCTAGCTAGTCAGTTTATTTGTAAAAGCTAAGTAAATGAATAATTCTAGAAACCAATGGAATAAGATGAGAGAACTAGAATTTCTGTCTCTAAGTTAACATATTGATAGTCAGCATAAACGTGGTGGAAGAAAGACAAGTCAGTCAAATGCTGTAACGCCAGTAGATAAAATATTTAGGGAAAATTGAGTAAACAGTGCTAGAAGGAAAAGGAATATCAGATCTTAATGATATCTTAGAACAAAATCAAACTAACCAACAAAGAGCAAAGATTTTCTACAGACTGGAATTTCAGGCCTCTATTGGAATAACACAGTTCTTGGTCCATATGACCAGCCAACCAACCAGGATGGCAAAAGTGAGTATGTAATGCTCAAAGAAATGAGAGAGGCACTGTGGGCAAGAAATAGAATTGTACCCAGTGACTCCAGTTATCCCCCAAGTGGACTGCACGCATACCACCTTGAGATGCAAAGTAGAGATGACTTTTTTTTTTTAGAGTCTTTCAGGCATAATCTCATGGGGCAGCTGGTTACCAAGTCTACAAGATGATGTGACTTGGTATTGAGAAATGCAGTGGGAAGAGCTCAAAGTCCCATGGTGGAAGTGTTGCTGCGTAACCATGACTGTAATTTACCTAGATGCAACATCCCACGCAGAAACAGGGAACCTACTAAGACTATGTTAAACTTCGAAACCAGGAACTATGTAAAGGTAAGGAAGCTGAAATGGCTGACTAAATACAACCAACCAACCAACCCAAAAAACCCACCAAACCCAAAACCCCCCAACAACTTTTACAGGCATTTGAGAGTTTCCTGAACGATATTTTACTGGAGGTGCAACACCACTATGTGCTATTTATTAGAAAAGACTTATGAAAAGTTACAGGAAATAAGTATGCTGATAGGAAAATAAATCAGATATTACAAGAATTAAGAAGGTATCATTCAAAAAGCTGAAGCTTTTGAGCAAAGAAAACAGAGGGCTCAAAAGCTCTCGCAGATGAAGTGTGAAAATAAAATCAGGCAGGCTGGAGGAAAAAAAAAAGTCCAAGAGCAACAAGCTAAAGGAATCTAAACCTTCTTCCAGATAGCAGGAACAAAAAGCCAGTGAAGAGAGCTGGTAGAGCCAACTGCTAATCAGGCTGTAGAAGAACCATTCCAAGGGGACAATGCAATTGCAGAGGACTTGAAGTGACATTCTCTGCAATGTCTGCATTAACATTCACTGCAGAAGAATTCCGGGAGATTCCCATTGTCTAAACCAGGGGGGGCATACAGCAGAAGGTGGATCCAAAATCAAAGCAATTATGCAATAGATTATGGCTGAGTGGGGACAATATAATGCCAATCTTAAAAAAGCAGTCTGCACCTCTGGGGGAGAGGAAGAGACATCAGATCTGTAAGCCTGGCATCTGTTACAGACAAATAAGCAGAAAAAACTATCATTATGCCACTGTACAAACCCACAGTTAATCCACATCTTAAACAGTGCATGTGATTGAGGTCCCCTCAACTCAAAAAATACTGTATTAGAAAAGGAAAAGGTGCAGGGAACAGCAGCAAGGACGATCAAAAATGTGGAACACCTTCCGCATGAGGAACAGTTGAGTCGCCTATGATCTTCAGCCTGGGAAAGAAAGTATTTATGGGGGATACAGTATATTACAAAATGATGAGTGGCGTGAAAAAAAACATTATACCCATTCAAGTATTGTAAGTAGACATTTTATATGTCTACTGTAATGTAATGTAAGCACCATTTTATAAATCAAAAGAGAAACCTCTCCAAGGATCGCTTCCAATTACCTGTAAAGAAAAACCCAGCTCTGGCAAGCAAACTGGGCTTCGTTCCTTTGGCGTATAATGGCCACCCATCAAAGGACTGCAGCCTCGCATCCTTCGCACTGTACCTGTAGGCGTGCTCTGCTGGGTTCTTCTCCAACTTCTGAACACATATGTCGTACTTTGAAATATCACCCACCTCTTTGCCCAGGACAAATTCACAAGTGGGACAAAATTTCTTGGGCTGTTTGTATGGGGTACATCTAACCTTCGTGGTAAATAAAACTAATCCACAGCAAAAACACTGCACGCTGGATTTAACAAGCATGTGATAAAACCCAGCAGCTGCCATTTCTGTGAAAGACCATGATGAATGAGATGTATAGGACAAGAAGGACTTTAATCTGTGGTGTTCATTTCTCATGGTAGGGTTGTAACTGTTCTGCAGCTGTTCACGGACTTCTTGGAATTCTGCCTCCATGACTTTGGCAAGCTTGTGAAAATCAAAGGCTGCATGCGGGAAACAAGCTTGCAATGCAGAAGGATTCAGCTCACGTATTTCATTGTCACTCGTCTCCACTGTAGGGTCCTCTTTGGCAGACATTTTCTGAAAAAACAAAGACGACTACCAAATTATATTACCCGCATCTTTTAGATAACATTGTCATCACCTCTGTTACCTTAATAACATGGTTTCTACAGTTTAGAAACACTTGATTTCACCTTACTAAGAAGAGATGAGGTAACTGGAGAGTTGCTACAAAGAAGTGTATTATAAATCTGACTAGCCAGAGACTTCTGCTAACTCTGATAGACCACAATGACAACAGCAAGTATCCTGAAGCATTTACAACCAAAACAGAGAGAAAGAAGAGACATAAACAGGTGAGATTTGAGCAAGATGACACAGATCAGTGGCAGATCTAAGAGCTTCATCCTGTAGCTTGAAATCCTAGAATAGCCTGGGTAAACTAACACACCTCTGTCACCTCAATTCTTCCATCTCAAAGCCATGACTGAATGTTGCTAGCAAACTTTGAATTTCTCCTTAAATTAGGAAAAAAACTGAGGTGACAAAACATACAATGCCAAATGGAAGATAGGAAGTAGAAGTGAGAAATAGAAAAAAAAATCAAAGCAAGCAATTGTTCTATTGCAGTATTTTAAAATTTCAACTGTTTTCAGTATAAGTAATGACTAGCAGGAGTTGCATGAAAAGGAACTGGGATTTCATAATCTCAAAAAGAAATTAATTTGGCAATGAAATTTATTGCCAAACTTACACTGTCAACACTTCTCTCTAGTAAAGTGGTTTTATTAAATGTTTGGTATTTACACTAGTCTTCTCAAATATAGCTTATCTTGTAGAAGTAGTAACTTTTTGTTATTAGTACTGTGGTATGACAACCGTAGAAAATATTTTGCTATGTGATGGTTCAGAACACAGCAAACATGTCTACGGTTCATATAGTTAAATTATGCTCCCTCCCTGCCTCCAAAGAGCTTTGCTTTGTTTTCTCAAATAATTGAGGGATCTTAAGAGATTTACAACATTTTCCAAACAAATTAATCCTTAAGAAAGTGATTCTAAATCCAGAATCTCCAACCTGTTGTTTTTACTCTTTTTCACTGGTTACAAAAATCACATTCTCCTCTCATAGGAAAATGTGTGCTAAACAATTTAAGTGCTTTCAAATCCCAAGGCGAAAAGTGCTGCAAAAGTCGTAAAAGTCTTCCAGGTCTATTATATTTTGAAAAATTACTTTCATGAATTGCACTATGGGCACCACGTTTATTTTTCCTAAATATGGAAACGTGATTCTCATTCAAATTTGATGACTTTTAAAATAACATTCATCTACTCTCATTCATAGAATCATAGAATCATTGAGGTTGGAAAAGACCTCTAAGATCATCGAGTCCAACCGTCAACCCAACACCACCATGCCCACTAAACCATGTCCCTAAGTGCCTCATCTACTCGTCTTTTAAATACTTCCAGGGATGGGGACTCCACCACTTCCCTGGGCAGCCTGGTCCAATGTTTAACCACTCTTTCAGTAAAGAAATTTTTCCTTACATCCAATCTAAACCTCCCCTGGCACAACTTGAGGCC